ATATATGTGGTGCCTTTAATAAATATAATATTATACGAGGTAATATTACGGTGTTATATTTATTACATAACTTCAGGGTACTTAGGCAACCCATAATTGGTGACCTCGACCTTCGTAAAGGGATAACACAAAGTTTTTTTTCGAGTGTTAACGTTAAACAAAATGACGAACGGTGACGCGGGTGCGAAGGAGAATGCTGCCGCCGAGGTACATTCCACGCGGAGTTTCAAAATACCAGCGTTTTGGAGATCCAATCCCGAGCTATGGTTTAGGCAAATCGAGTCTCAATTTTATACGTTTCGGATTACGTCAGACTCCACCAAGTATCACAATGTGGTGGCGGCTATGGAGAGCGAGGTGCTGCAACACGTAAGTGACATAATTATATCTCCACCCACGAGCGATATGTACGAGGCTCTTAAGCGACGATTGATCGAACGTTTTTCGGATTCGGAAGAACTTCGACTTAAAAAATTATTAAGTGACATCGAATTAGGCGATCAGCGACCTTCACATCTGCTTGCCGAAATGAGAGAGTTAGCATCGGGGAAAGTGTCGGACGAGTTACTCAAAACTCTGTGGCTGCAACGTTTACCGACACAGGTAAAGATTATTCTGACCGCCAGCGGGGACTCGCTAGTAAACCTCGCATGTATGGCGGACAAAATAATGGAGGTCGCGGGGGTCAGTAAGGATAATTTCGGTTGTATCGCCAGTACAGACATAAGTCGAACACGGAGCTTCCCGTCAACTAATACTGACACGCCGTTCGAAAAACTCGAAAAACAAATCGCCGCGTTAACGTTAAAAGTCGAAAAGTTAACGAACAATCGGGAACGTTCTCGTAGTCGTAACAACCATCGTTCGGTTTCAGGTACGTCACGCGCACGTAATGGCGATAAGGTTAACCACGAACTGTGTTGGTACCATTTCAAATTCGGTGACAAGGCGACAAAGTGTAGAGAGCCTTGTAAGTTTGAATCAAGTTCGGGAAACTAAATTGTTCTGCTGTTGTGACGACAAACGGCAGAAAATTTATGTCCCGTCGTCTTTTTATTGTTGATAAAAAATCTAAAATTACGTTTTTGGTTGATACTGGTGCGGATTTTTCGGTATGGCCAGCGAGCCCCCACTACAAACGGTCTGTAAAACACGATAACAATTTTACGTTATTCGCCGCAAACGGGTCGACAATTAAAACGTACGGTGAAAAAATAATTTCATTAGACGTAGGTTTACGACGCGCATTTAAGTGGTCTTTCGTCATCGCCGCGGTGGATAAACCTATAATTGGAGCCGACTTTTTACATTTTTTCGGATTAATGGTCGACATAAGAAATGCACGTTTAGTCGATGAAATTACAAAGTTATCGATCGTCGGTAGGGTGAC